GCAATACATCGAAGCTCTTGAAGAAGAACGTCGCAAGATTCTTGTCTTCCAACGTGAACTTCCTCTTTGCTTAAACCTCGTAAACCAAGGTACATACAAATAAGAGATTGCAAGTAATGCTTTCATTTTCCAGAATAAAACGAATAAGAAAATATAACATATATGTGAATTCTAGCATCTATGAAAAACTTATATTTTTCTTTATTTTGTTTGTTAAGCGATTGAGAGGTGTAGGAGAGATATAACGGAGACGGCCACAGATAATGTGTACGGACAATCAGAGTGCTCCGAGCAAACAACCGGACAATGTACGCCTGTCTTGGAGCAGTTTCTTACCATTAAAGACGCATCAACGTCCAACGATGACGTAGAAGAAGAATTCGAGGATGAGCATGGAAATCACGACCCAGACAAAGATTCTGATGACAATAACATGAAATCTGATTGGCTTAAGTCTGTTCAGCTCTGGAATCAGCCAGACCCACTTCTTCCAAAAGAGGTAAAATTATATTAGAGAACTATATTCATGAAACTCAAGACAATTCTCACGATAACACTCTAAATATTTGTGTGTTTTGCATTTCAGGAACAGTCTCAACAGATGATGGAGACGGTCGTGAAGAGAGATGAAAGCATGAGTAAAGATTCAATGTCTAACAGTAGCGAACGAAGGAAGAGAGAAACGGAGAGAAAGCAAAGAAGGTGTTGGTCGTCGCAGTTGCATAGACGCTTCTTGAACGCTCTTCAACACTTAGGTGGACCTCATGGTGCGTTTTAATACGGGAAATATAATCTTCTTACGACTTTGATAAATATATTAGTATTTAGGGTTCATCAAATTTTTAGTTAGTATATTTATTTTCGTTCCATTTTGCAGTTGCTACGCCAAAGCAAATAAGGGAGTTAATGAAGGTTGATGGATTAACAAATGATGAAGTTAAAAGCCATTTACAGGTAACGCATGCAATTCTTTGCTTTCTATTATTTGAGTTATAAATTTATGACTATACAAATCTATTTGTAGACAAAACTGATGTAAATATCTTTCTTTTGTGGAATATACAATAGAAATATAGACTGCATACAAGGAGACCAAGCCAAACAGCCCCAAACAACGGAAACTCTCAAACGCAACATTTCGTAGTGGTCGGGGGTTTATGGGTCCCACAATCTGACTACTCTACGGGAAAGACCACTGGAGGAGCCACCACTAGCGGCACTACCATGACGACGACCACAACCACCACCAATGGGATCTATGGAGCAATGGCTGCACCACCACCGCCACAGTGGCCGAGCCACTTCAATTTTACGCCATCGATTAATGTGGAAGAAGGATCGGGAAGCCATAGCGAAGAGGTGGTAGTCCGATGTAGCTCGCCGGCGATGTCTTCTTCAACTCGCAATTATTATGTCACTAAAAATTAATTTTTGTTTTTACGTACCCTCTCTAATGTTTTGATTCATTTTATTGTTTTGTTGTTTTGTCCCATGTTAGAAAATGTGATACCGTGATGAAAAGAGTGTATAGACTATAGAGTTTTGCACCGGAAGCAATATGATCTATTTATTAATAATTAGGATACTGGCCATTTTTAATTTGCATATTATTGTTTTGTTACTCTATTCGTTTTACTTTTGTTTCAATTTTGTTGACTTGTTATATTCTTGACTTTTATTAACGTATATGTGAAATAAGAAAATATGGAAAACAAAATTTGGGGATTTATTTCTGTTCTTATTACAGTTTCAGTCATATTAATTGTGTTCAAATTAGAACCAATTTCCAGTATGGCGTTATTTATTATTATTATGCTTAATGATCATATTTTTGTTAGTAAATATTATTGGAGCTACTCTTTTTGTTAACACAAAATTTACTATCACAATAAAATAATATAGAGAGTATAGAGCTGGGATTTTTAACCGAATTTGCCAAACTTAACTGAAAAGTGCAGATTAGGAATACATATTACTTGTAACCGAAGTAACCAAAATCTGTATCGAAATAACCAAATTAATCAAAACTAACCAATACTTTTTTGAATTTTATTTAATTTAAACAAAAATTTAAATCCAACTAACCGCAACACTGAAAACTTCGATAAAACTTTTCGAAACCAAACTAACCAAAAAATCAAAACGAACTGAATTTTTTCGGTTTACTTTTGTGAAATTGTAACCAACTCAAACTAACCGAATATCGAATTAACTGATACGGACTATCTGAATTAACCGAACCCGCGGGACTAGACGAGTATATGCTTATATCAGGTAACTAATATTAAAAGAAATATGTATGATTAACGTGTGTATACAGCTAGTATGAACATGGCGGCAGAGTCGAGCAAAGGGATCTTCTGAAAAGTATATACTATTTTTTTGTCGACCGTATATATTTATAAGATGCACACAACAAGATGACAAATTGACAACAAAGTTGATTTTATTATGATAACAATAAGACCCGGAAGAGGACTGACTTTTGAATTGGTTGCACTCATCATGGGACGAATATGCTCGAATCCGGATGAACTTACTATAATTATAGTTATATACCATTGTCAAGATATTTTCAATATTTTAGTAGGAAGCCTCTTACAAAAAAAAACATATTTTCAGTATTTAAATTTGATTTTCATATTGCTTGATTATTATTACAAATATGCACGTTAGCTGCTACTATGCCCTTGTCTTCCAGTATATTCTCGCTATAGAAGACTTTTATTCATTAAATAGACATGGTTAGGTCAGTTAATATATTTGGAGTTTGCCTATTTGGGCAGTATCTCTCAGAATCTTGAATTAATCTAAAGATTGTTTTAATTAACTTTTATTAGTCGTCGTACTGGTCTTACAATTAGGTTTGCCTTTTCTGGTGGCTCTAGGATCCATGTGGCCTTTTAAAAACTTATGTATATATCAGATTATTGCTGTAAAAAGAATAAAAGTGTAAGATATTAAGATACTAAACAAATATGGATTAACGATATTAATTAATAAACCATATTCTCTCTTTGTTTCCTTTCACTTTTATATTTCTGATTAGGTAAAATTGCATAGTATTTAATCAATTCAATACTCGATCGAATTGGATTACTTTATGTAAATGATTAGAGTGACATAATGTCGATGTTGCATGAATTTTAAATTATGTTTTTACATAAAAATGTAGGAATTTTAATTTTAAATTTTTACTACTTATATATGAATATAAAGACCATATTAAATGTTTAAAATTATCTCTTGGTATACATCCTAACTAATTCGAATAAATTATATAGTGTCATTGGATTTTTTAAAAAGGCAACATGACACATGACATTTTTAGTTTTTACATAAAAATGATGAAGGATGTATATTTCCATTTCGAGATAAGTTTGTTAGCAGATTACCAATATGATGACTTTCGTCTTCAAGATCGGATCAACCTGGCTAAAAATTCCATGTGCATAATTTAAAAAGAAAAAGATTAAATTTTATTTAAAAATATATATGTATATATATATAGTGTATTGACGACAGATCCAAATGATCAGGAATCGGATTAGGACTTCATTAGGTATGCATTTATAAACAAGTAAGCTTTAAGCAAGAGTTTATGTGACCTTTCAGACAAGTTAAAGGACAAAGTGACTCTTGGTACGTATTTTAATAGCAGTAATTATAATTGAAACAAGGGAAGCACACCAAGATCACTAAGCATTCAACAAACCTCATGCTTTTATTGGTTCATATCCAACATCTAAAAAATCATAAACATACATGGAATATTCGAATTGACCCCATTAAGTCGCTATATTAAACTTGTAGGAACGTACAAATTTATATACCACCTTAACTTTACCATCTTCTGTACACATATTACACACGTCTTAAGTACGTGCTAATCTTGTTTTAATCCTTAGCAAAAGTGTTTGACATTGTGAAATTATTTTTTATAATCTTCAGCAAAATGGTTGACATTGTGATCACAACTAATCTTCGTGTTGATCCTCAGCAAATTAATGGTTGACATTTTGTAATTAATCTTTGACAATGTAATATGAACCCTTTAGAAGATTCTTCGCGGTGACTAGTAAACTAGATAGAAACACGAAAAAATATTTTTGAATAATGTTTGAAAAAATGAAATAGTTATAAATTAAACGATATGCATTGTCATCACATTTACAAAGACGAATATTTCTAGATGTATGATTCAGGCAGTGTGTATCTGTATATTATTTGAGGGTCAAACTCATTACCCTTAAGATATCAGTAACGTTATTAAACAAATGATTTTGGTTCTGACTTGTGAGTTCTGAATATCTCCGAACGAGAGAATGATTCTTCAACATTGTGTCCAAACTTTAGGCTCGATGGGCCATCCTCACTTTAGGCTAAGTCTATCTTTAGTCTACAATGCTAGATGCCCGATCACACGTTAATGGGTCATTTGCATTTTGCAGTCTGATAGAAATTTGAGAGAATAAGGCAACCCCAATCTTAACTAGATACCTAAAGCTTTTTAAAGATAAAAGAATTAAAAAAATTGAAGGAAAAAGGTGAAGAAAAAGTCTCTGCACCAATCCTCAACAATTTTTTTTAGATAGTCTCTCTATAGGTTTATGAATGGCTCAACCTTTTTTTGTGGTTTAAATTTTAGTTATTAATTAAGTTATATTGGAATTAATTATTTTATATTTCTTTGATCCTTGTGGTTTGATACTTAGTTATTTACTGTTAAGTATGCTCTAATATACTGTAGTTGATGAATCTTCTTCAAATTGAAGTTCTTGTGTGGAAGTTATAAAGGAATGATTTTGAATCGTGAGGAACTACGTCGTTCATAGTACCATTTCGGAAAACCCCCAATACAATCTAAGGCAGTGATAGGGCATGAAAATTTCAAACCCAAATTCAGCTGTTTCGGGCCTCAAAAAAATAGGGCAGGTCTCAGCTGAAGCTATATCCAAATAAGATTAAATGGGCCTAAATATAATGGCCCATACATTATGACTCGATTAATACGACGGCGTATAAAGGAAGCTTCTCACTGTCAGTATCATCATCTTCTTCCTCTCGGAACGGAAACAAAAAAAAAAAATTGCTTTCACACTCTCTCTTTCTCTCAAGGGTTTCATTTTCCCGTGCATTATAGACGAAAAACATGGCTCCTAAAACGGATAACACCGAAGGTATAATCTCGAGAACAAATCTTCTTCTATTCTCTTTGATCTTATTCCCTGAACTGATTTTGATTTCCCTCTCGTTTCCTAAATTTTGTTCCGAATCTGCAGCGATCGTACTCAACTTCGTAAACGAGGTAATACGCACTTCCCTGCGATTAGTGTATGGATTCGAATCTGAAAACTGAGTTAGGTTTAATTGATGTATAAACTGATTTTGGTAGATACAATTTTAAAATCAATCCGTTTCGTTCTTGTGATTACTGTTTCTGTGTGTGTGATGAATTGGATTCTTTATGTTGCAGCAAAACCGACCTCTAAACACTCAAAACGCAGCGGATGCTCTACAAAAGTTCAACCTCAAGAAGACTGCTGTTCAGAAAGCGCTTGATAGCCTCGCTGATGCTGGCAAAATCACGTTCAAGGAGTATGGTAAGCAGAAGCTGTACATTGCTAGGCAAGACCAGTTCGAGATTCCAAACAGTGAGGAGCTTGCTCTCATGAAAGAAGAGAACGCGAAGCTTCAAGAACAGGTTCAAGAGAAGAGGAAGAGTATTAGTGAAGTGGAGTCAGGTCTGTGTGTGTATGTGTTAACTTGCTTTTTGAGTCACTTTATAGTTTCACGGATAACAATATCGTTCTTGTTGCAGAGATAAAGAGCTTGCAGTCAAACTTGACACTAGAGGAGATACAAGAGAAAGATGCTAAGCTTAGGAAAGAGGTGTGTGTTCTCTTAGTTGTGAGTAAGCTTTTAATAGGTAAAAAGCTTTAAAGGTGGTTTCAACTTTTGTATCAGGTTAAGGAAATGGAAGAGAAGCTGATCAAGCTACGTGAAGGTGTTACATTGGTGAGGCCGGAAGACAAGAAGGCTGTTGAAGATATGTACTCTGACAAGATTAATCAGTGGCGAAAGCGTAAGAGGATGTTCAGAGACGTTTGGGATACTGTCACTGAGAATTTCCCCAGAGATATCAAGGAGTTTAAGGTGAAAAGAAATTACACAAATACATTTTCATTAGTTTCCTCTTTCAAACTACATTTAACCTAATGTTGACTTGGTAGGAGGAGCTTGGTGTTGAATATGATGAAGATGTCGGCCTAAGTCTGCAGGCATATTCTGACCTGATTCCGCATGGTAAAAAGAGGGGCAGAGGGCAGTGACTTACAGGTAAGTTCTTTGAAATTTCCTTCTCTGGTCAATTTGTTTCTAGAAACTTTTCATGAATAAACAACATAGGCCATTGTTCAACATTACTGAAAACATATTATCCATAAAGAATACAATAGTTTTACACCCTTGACCAAGGCATAAAGAACACATAGAAATAGTACAAAACTCAGTCATTAAACCATAGACGCGCCTGTAAAAAACAAAAACTTAGACTTCTTAGTATCCACGAACCTGTCTGGTCCTTACTGAAATAGGACCCTTTAAACTAGCTTTAAGCATAATAGGTTCTTCAGCCGAATGAACCATGTTGTCCACATGTCCTGTATCCGCTCTATCAGAACAATCCTTAAGACTTTCCTCATCTTTAATCTCAGTAGTAGTATTAGTCTTTGCAGTATGTTTGGTTTCTTCCTCACTGTCGTAGACAACAACATCCTTCTCCAACAGCTTCACTGGGTCTTCTCTAAACGACATCACATCCTCAATAGTATCTTCTGAATCCGATATAGACTTCTTAGATTCTGATCTCATATCCACTTCACCTTCTGAAACATCATCATCATTACCTTCTTGTTCTGTTTCCTTGTTTTCAGAACCACTAGATGAACCTTCCCCACCATTATTACCCGTATTAAGTCCACGAGGTGGAGACTGAGAAAGCTCAACAGCCGCTCGTGCAGCCATTGCTGCATGAGCTGCTGACTCAAACGCTGCTTGTGCAGCATCAGCCACATCCTTGTACTTCTGCTTTCCTCTCTTAACCAAATTTGACAACACATAACTTTCTACTATCTCATCTTTCCCAACTTCACTTGCTAGCTTAGCCTTGGAAACATCTGTTTTGCCCTGCATTAATCAGAAAATGTTATGATTAGCTCATTTTAAAAATTTGTTGTTAATTGCAGGTTCCCTTACCTCAGTGGACGTAGAAGAAGCTTCTTCTAGTTTCAGAACGATGTTATTTTCTGCAGCAATCTCCTTCAAAACCTTCATCCTAACATCTCTTTGTGGATGTCTTGTCGACAACTTCTGAATTATCTATAGTAGTAACACCAAAAACAAACACCTCAGTAAGTATTTTGTTCTGTATTTAGAGATATCTATACAATATAAGGTGTTTGAATATATTATTTGGTTGAATGAATCAAAGTTGGTTACTTTTGGATTAACCCCACAATTACTCCGCAACTCAATGGACCTAGCAGCGATATCTTTGCCAAAACACGAAACCAAAACGTTACGAATCTCTTGAAGCTCAGGAAACTCTCCAATTCTAGAAGCTGCAAAGAGCAAACTCGTAACAGCTTCTAGAAGCTCATCAGGGCAATCTCTGTTGTGTTCGAAGAGTTGAACACGGTCGAGCAAGAGAGTGAAGTAGCCATGGAGGAAGAAGAGAACGTCGAGTGTGTTTTGTTCTTTAATGACTTGGTCGACTCTGTGGTAAGCGTTCTCGTGTTGCCCAAGCTTAAGAAGCTCGGTGACATCAGAGGTGGCTTGAGAGCATCGAACTTGACGTTGGTTCTTGAGAATAGAGAGCCTAGTGAGAGCTAAGTTGAGTAGAGACTTGAACTTTTTGGTTTTGAAAGTCCGACCAAGCAAAGCGTCTAGCTTCTTCCCCATTTGCACTCAACAAGCTGAAGAGGAGATGATTAGAGAATATAGTGGTTTAAGTGATTTTATTAGAATGAGCGTGTATATATGGAAGAAAAGATAGACGCGTTACGAGTTACAACGATTCACGACTTAGCAACGGAGTTGGAAAAAAACGACCCAACTGAAGAAAAAGTTTGGGGTCCGTGATTATAAAAACGAAAAGGACCACTTCTGAAAATCGTGCGCAGAGGGTTAATTATCTTTTGATTACGCGAGGATTAGTTATCTTTTGATTAACGCGGTGATTAATTATCTTTTACATTAAACATATCAAAATGAGTAACATATGAGAAGTTACTCTTTGTTTTTCTATTCTTTTTGTCTAGCTGATGTGAATATTACTTTTTATACATGTATATACCTTCATAATTAAAAATCTCTGAATATATTGCTCTTAGTGGAACGTTCGTGTTCATAGTAGTTTCAGTGAACTATCGTAAAAAGAATCCACAACACAAAATTACGTATAGGAGAAGAGAGTCTCTTAATTCCATTTTGGTCAAAATATTATGTTTCGTAAATCACATTTCAATGGTTTCAACTTCCATGGTTTCTTTATTCTTCTCTTTTTAAACATTTCTTAACAAGCCTTTATTGGAACATTCATTTCAAACTTGGTGAAATAGACACAAGAGAACTGTCATTGTTACTGCTCTTATTATTTAATAGTATTGCAATTTATTTAAGAACGATAGGTTTAAAGGCATTATTAACACGTTTCCCCTTCGTACTATCAGGCCATTAGAAAAACCCTGATCTCCACTCTATTAGGTGAGACATCAAATTAAACAACAACAAAATTCAAAAACCTTTGTAGACTTCTACAACTCGTGTTTATGTAACTTTCCACATCATGAACATTTTATTAAGTATGATGATCATGTTGTCATAATGATAAAGAGAGGCTTTTACTTATGTTAGGTAGGAAAAGAGCAATTAAATTACGAAAACTCCATTAATCTGGATTATTTCTCAAGACACTAATGATATTATGAAACTTCTTATGATAAAGACAATCGAAAGAGGAGAAGCTAAAATCAAAATTACATTGTCTAATATATATACATACATGCATCTAGGGCAAGAACATTACATATACCAAAATTTAGCAAAAAAAAAAAAGAACATTACATATATTATATATATAGTGTTTGTTTGCCCGTGATGAATGTACGAGCTAATGCATGTGACACTGTAAGTCTCTTTTCATGATCAAGTATGGAAATCTTGTCCAGAAGATCTCATAATGTACTAACACATTGGTATCCTCACCTGCAAGTATAGCCTTTAATCACTGAACCAAAAAAAATTGCCTCATTTTTCTCTTTATTGTCTGAAAATAGAAAATATAAAACAATTACCAAAACCCTTTGTTCATTATAATTCAAATTACATAAAAGTTCTAGACATTATACGGATTGGTTTGTCACCTTTCCATTAACACTGTCCCCCCTCTGTACCATCGAAGCTTAAGTCCTGACCAAAGTGCTGATCTATAAATGCTCCTTGTTAAGTAGTAGAAGGTATCAGAACAAAACTAAAACGCTGATGCCTTTAAACCGAAGAAAAAATATAAAAAAATCTCCAATGTAATTAAACATAAAGCTGACCTTGCGAAGCATTATTTTCTTAGGAAAGAGACGTCTCAGTTCCCATATGGAGGCGTAATATACCATTGTTGCGGAGCCAGGGAAAAAAACTGTGTAGGTCTCTGGAACTCTTTAGAATCTACTAACTAGATACGATGTAACTTCGTTTTTAACAGCAAACATTGAGCTACTAAAGTCACAAAGCTTTAACACGTTGTTGTTTTCACCTGGACTATCAAGTAACGACCAGATGCTAGAAATTAGTGCATCAATCAGTGTTACGACCAAACTTCTTCAAACCTCATGTTCACTTATATTTTGCAGTGTAACCACGTTCTTTGCATATGCAATGTGACACCTAACGTAATAATCTGACAGACGAAGAAACAAGAAAATCAGAAGGTGTATAATTTTTTTTTTTGTATACTGATAGGTACCACAAGACCACAAATTATGAAAGAAATATATAGAGTTACCGTAGTTTCGTTAAAAGCTTATCGATCACCTTCTATTAGGAGTCGTAATTATTACATGTAATCCCCGGTTTACTGGGCCGGTTAATAGTTTTATAAATTAGTCCAGTTTGACTCTTCCGGTTATCAGATCTTATGGGCACCTTGTTACAATTAGTTCCACAGATTCGGTTTCTGATTATAAGAACACTGTTGATCACTTCAATTCGGTTTTCAAGAAATCATATGTGGTTAACTACAAACCAAAAAATCAGGTTCGACGATGAAGAATACTTTTTTAGTAGTTGTTTGGTTTGGGCCTTAAGAATACGGTTAATGGGCTATCTTTATCGCCTTTGTTTAAAGATGAAAGCATACTTGCTCTAATTATCTAAATCGAAAATTAGTGTCAAGTAAAGAGATTGAGAGTAAATTTTCATACTATATAAATTTCACACTAACAAAACCTATTAAAGATCTGGCTGAAATCGAAAAATGAAGGTGTCAAATAAAGAGATTGAGAATGAAATTTCACAAAAAAAAAAACTAATTAAAGATCTGGGAAGAAGAACAAACAAACGAATTCGCTTATATTAATAATCTAGAAAACTACCCCCACTAACAAAGTATTTAACGTTCCTAATCCTAATAATTAATTAATAGAAAATAAACAATCTACACCATCAAGTGCTAAAAACGACAAGGAAGCCACACGCTTTACAAAACGGCATCGTTTTAATCATTTTCCACCTAATTAAAAAAAAGTTTTTACTCCGCCGGTAAAGACTCCGCCCGCCACGGAAACAGATCACCGGCATCGAAACAATCATCGGCAAATCCAAACAGCCCATCGCCGGCGACGTAATCGACGCCGTAACCGAAATCTAACGATCCGTAATTCGAAAAACTGTCCTCGAACCCCCACAACTCGTCGACTCCGGACGAATCCGACGACGCACGGACCAAATCCGTCAACGTCTCCGTCGTCTCGACCTCCTTCGCGACGGGAACCGGAGAAACAGGAGGCAAACCGAGCTCGTCATCGGAGGCCTCTAGAAGGTAACCGAGATCAGGCTGAGTTTCTCCGGGGACGCGCGTAAGCGTCGAAGATAACTCGTCCTCGAAACTCTTCATCACCGAGTCGAGATCTTGACTCACCGGTTCGGGATCCGAGTCATCGAGTAAGTCGTCTCTTAATCTCTTCACCTCGAGGGATTCGAGAATCGCGTCGTGGGACTCGTCCCTGACTCGTTTTTTCTCAGCTGAGTCAGTCCGAGTTAGCTTCTCCTCCGCCATGGTAAGCTTTTTGAGTCTTTGGATTTTGGTTTGTTGGGTGGAAGTTTTTTATTTTATCAGTGGCAGTATCGAAATTAGTGAGGGATAGAGGTGCAGAATGGGAAGAAGGGGAAACACGAGGCTTTATAGTAAGAGAAAAGAGAGAGAGAGAATGTGAGGAGGGGAAATGTAAAAGAGAGAGAGAGAGGGAGATGAACGCGTGGGGATGTGACGGATTGTTAGGCGCGTGGGAGAGCGAATCCTTTGGAATCACGGATCCCTCGCTTTTATTTTCTTTTTTAGCTTTTTCTGGTTTTCTTCTTTTATTTATCTTTTTAATATTTGTTTTTGAAAACTTCCAGATGTCTCTTTCTAGTTTTTAAAAGTATAATTAATCGGTTTGAATTCGGAATTGAAGTCCGGTCACGTTTGATGTGCACATGATGCCCAGTCAATTACGCCCTCTGAATATTTCTTTTTCTTTTTCCTTTTTTTAACATACCTTCTTCATTTTTACACAATGTTTTTCTCTTAATATTTTTTGGAAATTTTGGATTTTCCAAAGAAAAATCTCACGTAATCTCAAACTTGGAATATTGATCTTTCTTTATATTTATACAAAATAGAAGTTTAAAACAAATAATTATGATAATATATAAATCTCTATTTTTTCTGGTTTGCTATGTGACAAACTTATATGTCAATACATGTTATCTTATCAACTAGTAGAACGGACGACCAACAAATAAAAGTCCCAACTAGGCAACTAGTAAAATGAAGCAGACCATGTGGTAAATTTATTTACATTTCGCGGTTAACTACTATGTGAAAAAAATAGCAATAAACAATCACAAATGTTATTTTGTAAAAAAAGAAGTGCTATTTTGTAGCTACTGGTTCACTCTTAAAACGTTCTTTACATGCTTGTTTGCTAGCTACTTAGCTCCATTATGCAACTACACTTTCTGCATATGCATGGCTTTAGTGTTTTGGAACTTTTGTTCCAAGCTGTGTGTTTAACAAAATAAATACGAAATAATTGTTTGACGAAATTGAAAATCAGCATTATGTATGAATATATAAAATGTTTGTCGTAGTTATTTAAATCCGTGGTCGTAGACATTGGGTGGTCCTTTAGCACCATAGATTCATCTTTATCGACCATGGTACAATCTAAAGTTTAAACAGACAGTAGCGAAAAGAAGAATACATTTTTTTTGTCAACAAAGAAGAATACATATGAATGCATATTGTGTGATATACAACCTTTTTGTCTATTGTGTTATGTTAAATCATTGGCTCATGTCGAGCGATGTGAATGCATTTTTATATGAACGATTTCGTTCCACATATCATTGTTTCACATATTTACAATAGTCTGAATCATGTTCTGATCATCTACGCGTAAGAGTAATAGATCTATTAGCATAAATTTATTTCTCATGTTCACACTTAAATATCATACTTAAATATGGTGTGAAGCAGACAACATTTCCACTACAAGTTTTGGTATTTTCATTGGTCGATCCTAAGGACAATTCATAGTAAAAAGAAGAACAATATATATGACTACCTCGAGTCGAAAACGATTATATATAATGATATGCGAAGTGCTAAACTGATTTAAATTTTATAAATAGTACTTTTTCCGGAACAATAATCTTTATTGTTTATAATTCCGCTGATGGACAACACGGAATAAATTATATTATGGTGAGCAATCGAGTTAATGAAACTTTAGTCCAATAGATTTTGCGATTTTATAATTTAAATGCATTTATAATGTTTATATCGTTATGTAGTCCTACTATCGAGAGCATCTATTTTTAAAAAATTAGGTAAGTTGAGAATTTTGAGTTTTGGAATAAGGTATGGGAGGCCATTGTTTTAATTGGTGGGCAATGGGCATCTTGGTATATACGTGGTTTTAGCAAAGTTGAGTGACAAAAAAGAAGCAAAGTTGTGATTCTTGGGTAATACATATACTCAATCCATTACTTTTTTTTTTTTTGTAATGGAACTATTACTTAAAACACGAATATGATTGTATTACCAAAGATGCACGTTCCTCTTATCTTTGGTAAGACATTTTGAGCTGTCCAAACCAAACATATTGGTATGAATTCTGGTGGTGAGTGACCTACGTCTAGAATATCTATCGCACTAGCTAGAGTTTATCTTCTCATATTTAGGGAGTAATCAGAATTCGCACGTCAAACTATATGAGATGTTTTCCGAGCGCACGGATATTTTATCTTTTTTTTCTGTCGATGATAATTGAACTTTCGTCGTCTCTCAAGCAAAGAACGCCACTAGATGCAAGTTTGCTATGAAAATGCAATAAACATGATGACTAATGCCTTTTCTAAAGAAAAGAATAAACATGATGAATAAGAATAATCAACTTTTATTAAATTAATTTTGTATATTCAATTCATTGATCCATAAACAAAATTGCTAGCACACTGTAAACTTTATTCCTGAATAAAATATTTTCAATTTGTATGTGGTTTTCTAATACATACATCCACAAGGAAGACAGGCTCCATAAACTGAATGTTAATTCTAAATATTAAAAATGTTAGATGACAACAAAGTAGGTACAAAAGACAAAATGTACCTCTTCGGATATTTGGATGGTTTTAGTTCTTTACTAGAGAAATTATCTTATTCACTTAAGTATGCGTATACGTATGCATACATGTGATATAACTTTCGTCTCGTCGTGCATATCATACACGTATCAATAAATAAATTTTAAGAAACCCAAGGTCTTTTGTCAAAAATATAAAAAAGAATCCCAAGGTCCACTGCAATCAATAAATTGACACCATTAATAAACTCTGCACGTAGTGAGTTACGTACTCTCTCAAAACTTGGAAAATCATATTAATGTCAACTAAAAACTACTATAAAAGGTTCTTAATGTATTTTAAAACAACTCATGAGTCTCACTGTAATCTGTATTTATAAGTGATCTGGAAAAACTTTGTATCGTGAATTATAAACTAATTAAAGTGGAGGCATGGAGCATAATTGTGTTTTCGTGAGCGGTAATGCGCATGTTGGGTATGAAACATCAAACTGGGGACGGTTTCACAAACCAGCGTATGTCTTTAATATCAATATATCGTAGCATATACTATGGTATCACTTTAATAAGATTAAACCAATGCACTTGAACTATAACTTATACAAGGCCCCCTTCACAACGCATCACGTGAGTACAAAACAATTAAGTACACAACCTTACAAAGTAAATTAATTACGTGGTCTCCACCCAATGTTAGGAAAAACAAAACTCATAATTTACCTTTGTTCTGATATTTTTTTCACCTGACATCTATTTGCTTTTTTGTAACACAATATGTTTCATTCATATTCTTAATTGATTACAAGAGCAACATCAGATAAACGATGTATCATCCTGCTAGAGATGTCTGAACAAAGCAATAAAGAGATAGAGACACAAATTTAGATAAGTTTGATAAACTGCCGAAAGAGGTTTTGAAGGTACCTCACACAAGTAAAATTATGGAGAATTTACAGTCTTTCATTTTTTTTTTAATTTGAAAATATTCACTGTATAATGTGACTTTGAGGTTCCATAACCTCGATGAATTGATGTTAGGATTAGATATGTTGTCAATTAAATTTGATTCATTTAGTTATTCTTTTTGATTTACTCCAAAAAATTCAAATATCATTAAATCTTCGGAGCAAGTTAATATTAAAAATTAATATCTATTAAAAAAAATCTCAAATACTAAAAATGCATAATCTAATATATGTTTTACTCCGATTTCTACACAAATAAAAGTATATCTACAACAAAATAGAGAGATTTAAATGTATAATTTTATATAATTATTATTTTAGAAGATAACCTTCATAATTTTATTTATCAAAGTACTAAATAAAAAAAATTGAAATATTTTCAAATATTACAATTTTCTAAAATTCTATGTGTTATAAAAAATTATTTAAGTTTAAAAATTTATGGAATATGTAGTTCCACTAGTTTTCACGTTTTATATTACGTAAAAGGTATTTAAAACAAAATTTATATAATTTTTTAGACTTAATTATACTGAAAATAGATGAAATATTCGTAAATTTCTGTAAATAATAAATATTCACAAATATGTGTAAACTTTTGATATTAAAAAATCGGATGTCTATATTTTTCGAAGTTAAACTTGATCGAAAAAATCAGATATACATACATTACAAAAAAAAAAAATCATAGATATTAGAAATTAAGGTCCTAATTGCTTTGTGCTCACCCCTAAGTTTTATGCTGTTATACTGACTCTAAGGGTGCCAACTCAATCGGATCTAAGTAAGCGCATGTATTTTGAATTGTATTTTTTGTGCAGTGTTAATTGGATTCTGTAACTCGCATTTAGATGTGATAATCAAGAAGGCATGCATGTAACTTATTAGAAAGTACTACAGTAAAAAAAAGTGTTTGTTGATGAATTTTCATGTGCCCACCAAACTTTGTACGGTATATATAGCTTGCATCTAAAAGGTTTTATACAGTTTATTATCATCGATCTGATTTTTGATACTTTAAATGCTCCAAACTAAGCTCAGGTTCTGTAATCGGACTAAAATAGTTTCCACTATTCATTAATCGTTTTGTGTTTGTTTGTTTTGTTTCTGACATTTTTAAGCCAGGTATATTTTTAATCTAAAAAAATCAAAATTAACCGCCATACTAAAAATTGTAAATGATATAAAATTTTATATCATTAATATAGTAACTCAACCAAACAAAGGATATACCAATCCCATGTCAGCATGACCTAACCCTAATTTAGGTTTGAGTAGATTTTCTTCTTTTGAAATGATCTATTATCATTGTTAATATTGTTGGTATTAATTTCTTTTGTTTCATCAGGAAAAGAAAATCAGGTTTATTTGTGAAGTACAAGAACCATACTTATGGTTCTTATTAATGTTGATAGTTTATCTACTTCAAGTTTTATAAGTTGGAAAAAAGTTTATATCTGCGGAGTTGAGTATGATTCGATCCATAAAGTCCAAAATATATTTTATCCAGCAAAAAAGGTAAAAAACCTGCAAAATTAATTATGTTTCGCATGGCTAACCACTATGGCGAATTCATGGGAATACAACTTTACAATCTGTGGTCCATAGGCAAACAATCTTGTTCTCAGAAATATAATTATCTTATAAATTCAATAAATAATAATAATAATAATAATAATCTTATAAATTCTCCTTTAGTTCATTTCTCTATTTAACAAGACAAGATAAGAATTTTGCCGCTAGGTTTTAGGTTATATCAGTTATGGAGTATGGTATTTTTTCAACCAAAAAATTATGTGGATATGGAAGATCAGGGGCATACGCTCGAACATGACATAATTCAATATTTTTGTTGTTTGTCAAAACATCACACGGTTCAATATTCAAAACCATATAAATAGCATAATTATAATATACCTTCTCAAAACACTATAT